GCTGTAGGGCAGGAGGCAGTGTGTGTGTGTGTGTGTGTGTGTGTGTGTGTGTGTGTGTGTGTGTTCTAGAAATGTAGAGACACATGGAGCATCTGTGCATGGTTTCTGTGATGCTCTCTTGCTAGTTTCCCGGACACAGTTTAAGTCTAGTCATTGGATGAAACGCTCTATCAGTGGTGATTCTCCACAGAAAATCCTTTTTGGGGGCGCAGACATTTCTCTGTTCCTGGGAAACTGATACATATAGTAATCTAGAATAATCCAGACACGCAGCAGGAGATCGTTTATCCTTCTGTCTGCTCTACCATGTTTGGAATGGTTTATATGAGGACAGTGATGTTCTGAAAATGAGACACACACAGCACCCATGCATAAACACACACCTGTCAGATTGCGGTCAAGCCTCTTACTGCTGGTAATCCAATTCAAGATTGCGAGTCCTGGTTCCTGTGTGTGTTCTCGCTCTCAGTCATGCTCAGATGTCCTGAAACCTTTTTCCTTCTATTCTAACAGTCCGTTTATCTTTAAACCTGTAGGTCTATCCATGAGTCTTCACTTGATGTGTATTGTCAATGTTGTACTGTAAGGTGTATTTGTGCTTTAGTGTGAGGGATGAATTGAACTCCATTAACACATACATAGTGCACACACCCTTGCCTCTCAAAAGCAAAGCAGTGAGTTAGTTTACTGCTGTGTTAGGCTGTATGTGATATGTGTATGAATTGATTTGCAGCATCAGTTGGACTTTGAGCTCTTTGCTGAGGAGGTTGATCAGCATCTTTCTCTCTTATTTCTCATCTGATCTTGTTCTCTGTTGGGCCTCGTGTGATTTAGACTTGATTTTTGCTGTAGTTTGTTCACAGCAGAACTGAAATCTGAAGCTTTGGTAGCGTTTCTTTTAGATATTATGCTTGTTTTATATGTCATCATTAGTGCTGATTGTTTTATTTTTTTTATCTTGTGTTTTTTTTTAGGCAACCGGACAAGCTAGTTGTTGTCTGGACACGCAGGAGCCGAAGGAAATCATCCAAGGTGGGTAATATTACTTTTTTTCTTTCTTTCTTTCTTTCTTTCTTTTTTAAATGCAGTTGCAAACAATGCCTTAAGTATGTTTACATGTGCAGTAACTAGTGGGTTACTATAGTTGAGCTACATTCTTAATATATAATTTGATGGATTAAATACACTTCACAGATCAAATTTTGGAGCAAGCACAACGCTGAAGACGTTGTAGCCCAATTAGCATGTATACATTAGGCTTGCTGCGATAGACAGTGTTGGCGGTAACACCGGTGTTAAGCCGCAACACTGGTATGTCACTTGCCCACCGCGGCACCATCCCCCACCGTCGTTTGATTTTTACAGTAATAAAAATAATTTATTTCAGTTAGAGAACAGACACTACAATTAAAAACTGAACGCGGCTGCTCAGTACAGCGTGCCGAACAGTAGTCGCATCATAGATTAGATTTCATTCACGTGAGGCGAGTGAGTCGAGCTGACTGACAAGAAGAGGGAGGTGAGAAAGACAAGATGATAGCGGAAGATTTAGTTTCGAAACTAAATGCAAAAGCGCATGTTTGGCAATATTTTGGATTTTGAAAAGCCTGTTGACTTTTGCCTTTTATCTAAGGTGATTTTGGAAGTTTTTTTTAAACATTCGTTTCTTATTTAATTGGTTCCACAGTGTTTGCTGATTTTCAGTTTTGTATACCTAGGCTATTTAAAGTTATTTGTTATTTTATATTAGGCATAGCCTATAGACTGGTGTATTTTGATTCGTTTTGTTAATAAAAGTTCTATGACTTCTATATTGGCTAAGTTGAGTTTGAAGTTATATTTTGTTGATACTTGAATTGACGCCGAAATAAAACGAACGGCGCTTTAAAGATATTTAGAAGTGAAGGAAAGTGAGGAAAAGAGGGAAAACTCAAACAAACTAACAACGAACAAGTGCTTTACGCCAAATTGCCGCTAATTTGAAAGTGAAAGTAAAATGCGCACCGCGCATTAATGAATCATTAAAGCTTTATGTAACAACTTATCACTCCAAATTCACTGCAAAAAAATTATTGTTTTCCAGTTCAAAAAAATCGAATTTACTTGTAGCAAAATGACTGAATGATATTCTTGTTTTATGCTTCATGCTTTAAACATTTAAAAAGTTCTGCCAGTGAGGTAAGAAAAATATGTTTAATTCAAACTGGCAAACAAGACAGAAATACTGAGTAACAAAATAATTTTTCAGTGTTTTTTATTGTAGCAATGACTAGATTATTGTATATATTTTCTGTTTTATTTTGTAGGAGTAAAGCTGTTAGTTTTAACGAATCTATCATGCAACTTTTTCATGCATTTTTTGTTTGCAGTCTCATAGCTGGCAGCCTGGCATCAAGAATCCCTATAGAGGAGTGGTGGTGTGGCCTGTTCCAGAGAATATAGAGATCACTGTCACACTATTTAAGGTAAACACATGCATTTACACACACATAAAAAACAGTCTCTCAGGCAAAGAAAGAGAGAGAAGTTTGTAGATCTGAAGTTCCTCCTGTTAACAGCACAGATGTAATTATGAACATGTTTAGATGTTCATAAGTTTAGAATTCATCCATCATTTCATTAGCTTCGATGTCCTCAGAGGGGCAAAAGAACTGACTTAAAACCACAAAAAACTGAACGCGGCTGCTCAATACAGCGTGCCGAACAGCAGTCGCATCATAGATTAGATTTCATTCACGTGAGGCGAGTGAGTCGAGCTGACTGACAAGAAGAGGGAGGTGAGAAAGACAAGATGATAGCGGAAGATTTAGTTTCGAAACTAAATGCAAAAGCGCATGTTTGGCAATATTTTGGATTTTGAAAAGCCTGTTGACTTTTGCCTTTTATCTAAGGTGATTTTGGAAGTTTTTTTTAAACATTCGTTTCTTATTTAATTGGTTCCACAGTGTTTGCTGATTTTCAGTTTTGTATACCTAGGCTATTTAAAGTTATTTGTTATTTTATATTAGGCATAGCCTATAGACTGGTGTATTTTGATTCGTTTTGTTAATAAAAGTTCTATGACTTCTATATTGGCTAAGTTGAGTTTGAAGTTATATTTTGTTGATACTTGAATTGACGCCGAAATAAAACGAACGGCGCTTTAAAGATATTTAGAAGTGAAGGAAAGTGAGGAAAAGAGGGAAAACTCAAACAAACTAACAACGAACAAGTGCTTTACGCCAAATTGCCGCTAATTTGAAAGTGAAAGTAAAATGCGCACCGCGCATTAATGAATCATTAAAGCTTTATGTAACAACTTATCACTCCAAATTCACTGCAAAAAAATTATTGTTTTCCAGTTCAAAAAAATCGAATTTACTTGTAGCAAAATGACTGAATGATATTCTTGTTTTATGCTTCATGCTTTAAACATTTAAAAAGTTCTGCCAGTGAGGTAAGAAAAATATGTTTAATTCAAACTGGCAAACAAGACAGAAATACTGAGTAACAAAATAATTTTTCAGTGTTTTTTATTGTAGCAATGACTAGATTATTGTATATATTTTCTGTTTTATTTTGTAGGAGTAAAGCTGTTAGTTTTAACGAATCTATCATGCAACTTTTTCATGCATTTTTTGTTTGCAGTCTCATAGCTGGCAGCCTGGCATCAAGAATCCCTATAGAGGAGTGGTGGTGTGGCCTGTTCCAGAGAATATAGAGATCACTGTCACACTATTTAAGGTAAACACATGCATTTACACACACATAAAAAACAGTCTCTCATCCAGGGGCCAAGTAGGTCTAGATGTTATTGGGGCCAGTTGTAGCAGTTGGCTTTTTCCTAGAAGCTGATTGGTTGGGATCTGCAGGTCTGCTGGTGTCTAGACATCCTGATTCCACTCTAATTTAACTGCCAGAGTCCAAATTTTAACCCCCTTCTCAAGTGTGTGTGCAGCAGAAACTGACATGGCAGCAGGAAGTCTGTGCTCTGTATTTTAGTCTTTTTGAGATGCCGGTCAGAAGATTTTTACATCTGGCACAAGTGAAGTGAGACCTTACATCCTGAATTGTTAGACCCATGTGCAGCCATAGAGGAAGTACATCTATTAGGCAAAGAAAGAGAGAGAAGTTTGTAGATCTGAAGTTCCTCCTGTTAACAGCACAGATGTAATTATGAACATGTTTAGATGTTCATAAGTTTAGAATTCATCCATCATTTCATTAGCTTCGATGTCCTCAGAGGGGCAAAAGAACTGACTTAAAACCACACACACCCCACCACACATGCAAGTTACGAGCTAGCGCTGACAGGCTGACCTGGTGTTGAATATCCTCTAACATTCTCCACATTGTGTTTACAAAGGTCACACACACAAAATGCTTGTCCAAACATTTTCCTTATCAGCCCTGTCCTCACCAAACCACACTAACACACACTAATCAGTGTCATGTACAACTACATCTCCCAGAGTTCATTGCAGTGGGTCAGTTTGGCATTCACGAGTTCATGAATGTTTCATTTGTGTACCGCAAACCCTGCTGTCAGCTGACCGGGACAGTTCTAGAACAACAGAACAGCAGGTCAAGTGAACCTGTGTGTATTTGCTTCCTCGTATGCACATTTACCATACTAATAAACCTGATTCAGCTTTGAAATAGGCTTACAACAGAGATCAGTGTGAGAGAAGTGTGACTTGTATGAGACAGATCACTTTGTCTGTGACCTATTGCACTGCAATTGGCCATTATAATACTGATGTAGCCAGATGAAGCTTTGGATGAGTCATTTATGGAAACGTCTCTACATCCCTTGTTTTACATGTTTTACATTTTATTTCCCTCAAGAGATGCAGATATTGCTTTGATTCCTATTGTTGATCAGTAAATGGAGATTGATTTGATCTGTGGAGTTGCTTTTGCCCAGTATCTCTGCTACAAAAGACACTAAACACAGGCTTTATTCTGAGACTTCTTTAATGAGCCTCGTCTCAGTTTGTATGGCATTAATTCATTTCCACATTCTGTTTTTTCAGGATCCCCACGCAGAGGAGTTTGAAGACAAAGAGTGGACCTTTGTCATTGAAAATGTGAGTGCTTTTATTACACTCTTGTTGTTCTAGTGAGTTCTGCTGAGTATGTGCAGCTTGACACCTAGTGCTCAAATACAGTAATCACACTGTTACAGTTTCAGAGTGCAAGAATGAAGAATGACTGATTTGAGGCAGAATATGTTTGTGTCACGTAGTGCCTGTTCACCCTTAGTTGTTCATGTGGTTTGACAAGTGATTATGTAGTTTGGCTGAACTGCGATGCTCAGTATTTGGATTAATTTGTTTCGTGTCGTAGTTTAAAAGCAGGTTATTTGTCTGGCTGTTTTTTTCAGAACCTGATCTAGCTGTTATTTCAGCAGTACACACAGTTTTAATGCAAATATAACAAATTCACCCTGCCAAGTGACTTTTGCCTTCTAGAAGATTACCAGGTTTTATGCTCTTGTATTACATTGATTGGGGCAGTCGTGGCCTAATGGTTAGCGAGTCGGACTTGTAACCCAAAGGTTTTGGGTTCGAGTCTCAGGGCTGGCAGGGATTGTAGGGTGGGGGAGTGAATGATCAGCGCTCTGCCATAAACATCACTTGTGTGTGCGCGTTAGGGGTCGACCGATTATCGGCGCCGATATTAAGCATTTTTATGATTATCAGTATCGGTCATTTTCAAAACCGATTCGCCGATAAAATAACTTAATTTTGAAACGCGCTATTTGGCTCTGATGCAGCCTGTCAGAACTCACCACTCTGTGGCCTAAAGCAGTCTCCGCCCACCGCTCATCTGATTTGTTGGGAGTCATGAGTCCGACCAATCAATGCGGAATTCACTCTCACTCCGAAAGCGCTTGCTAACAGGAGCTGCTTCAGTGATTACGCATCAGTTGTCTCTCAAAGGTAAGGCAGCGGCAGAGGTTGCTTAAGTTGCAATAGAACCCAATCCACTAACGTTGCACCGAAGTTGCAAAACACCTCAATACTATTATTTCTGCGATGCAGAAAACACGGACGGAATCGCGGAATCCAGTCATATAAATTGAATTTACTGTATGACGCGGAATGTCACGGAATTTGTCAAAGTTTGGATGAATTAATCAAAAGTAGGTCAGTACACTTAAATAGAGTCGCAATATGGACTAGTATCTGTAAATATTAAGCCGCAAAAATGCTATTTAAATATGGATCCATCCAGCATGTTCTGCGTGTCTACACATACAAAGTGTGCGACGCTCGCGGTGATTTCAGCTTCTGTCGTATCATATTAGGACATAAATACACGAACAACATCTCCCGAACTGCTCTGACTCCCTCTGAGAGTCAATTCATGAGCATTTGACAGTTTAATTGGAGTAAAACTATCTTCATATCATTTACATAGACCTACAGAAACAAGTTCCTCATGGCAACCCGTCAAAATATAGGGTGTGTGACAGGTATGGCTGAGGAATGTGGTTTGGCCGAGGAAAAATTTTCAGTCAAAAGATTATTTTTTTTGCTTTAACCCCTGAATACTAAAAGAATAATCACACAATACGCTATTTCTTCCATGTTTTAATTTTAATGGTAAACCCATTAAATAAAGAGTTTGCCAAAAAATAAAGAGTTTAACTCTTTAAAATAGTTTACTGTGGGAGTACTACACTCAACCAACACCAGGGAAGGCAGTTTTTGTCAGAGCCCTTGTTATTCTTAATTTTGACATGAATTTTCATTTTTACACCAGACATATATATCGGTTCAAAATATCGTTTATCGGTCTACTTGAGCCGTAATAATCGGTATCGGCATCGGCCTCGAAAAACACATATCGGTCGACCCTAGCGTGCGTGCATGTGTGTGTGTGTGTGTGTGTGCGCAACGGGGAAGGAACGCCGCTGTGCATGATACAGAGAGCGCGACCATAACATAGAGACCGGAATGACATGCCGTCGTGTAAATAAGATAAATAACATAAGGCTTTTTAGTTTGTTTAAAAAAAGAACAAGGTATAGACCTGTTCTATCGTAAAGGTAACTTTAAAGGGGTCATCATATGATCCGATTTAAATTTTTTCTTTCTCTTTGGAGTGTTACAAGCTCTTGGTGCATAAAGAAGATCTGTAAAGTTGACCCCCCTAATATAATGGCAGGTGAAACATTGTATTAGAATTATTTCTGAAGGATCATGTGACACTGAAGACTGGAGTAATACAAATTCAGCCTTGCCATGCCATCACAGGAATAAATTACTTTAAAAAAATATTAATATAATATTACTATTTCAAAATGTAATTGTTTTACAGTATTTTGATTAAATAAATGCAGCTTTGTTGAGCATAAGAGACTTTCAAAAACAAAAATGAAAAAGTCTTATAGACCCAAAACTTTCAAATGGTTGGCTAAGAACAATGTAGAATACTACAATTTGAAGTATTTTTACAATTGCAGACTAATCTTTTTTTTTTCTTCCTTATTTTTTTAAACTGTTATGCAGTATATATTTTGCACTACACTAGTTTTCCATTCTTAACATGGCATCTGTCTGTGTCTCTGGAGAGAGGCTGTTTGGATCCACAAACATGGGCATCGGTCCAGACAGGGCTGTTCTATCCATGTGTCTGCTCAGCAGACACATGCACAAACATCAACACACAATAATAAACTCCCATCACAGGTCCATTGTAAATGTCTCTGCTGGCAAGAGCTTGTTAATGTCTCTGTTCTCATGAGAGACTTTACACACACTTGAGATGTCTTAATCAGCATAAACACACATTTCTGTGTGTGCGATGACTATATTTGTGATTTGAGATTAATAGATGAAATGGTATTCCTTTTGTTATGTGTTATGTGCATACAGATGGGGAATGGTTGAGGGGAGAGTGAGAACACAAAGCATAATATCTGAATTCCTCTTGTCCATACACACCTCTCTAATAACAGACTGATCAAAGACATGCCTGTCATCTGACACCAGCATTGAGATTAGAAGAGATCCACATACACCAGGTTCCCACAAACTTACTGAATTCCTCCTTCCACAAACATAAACACTCCCATCTCCCACAGACTCTCTCTCTCTCTCTCTAACTTGCATTTTTGCAGTTGTTTAGTTCATTTTTTTTCAGTTGATACATGTTTGCCATATTCATTAATTTAAATCCATTTTATTCTGACATTTTAATTGATGATAACAGTACAAAATGACAGAAAAATGATAGAAAATGTCAGACTGTCACAGACTAAACTTTAAACCACATTTTAAGCATTTTGAAAAATGTTTGAACAATTAATGGATAGTTCCTCATATTTCTGTTCCAAACCTCTATGTATTTATTTCTTCTGTGGAATACAAAAGATATTTTGAAGAATGTTGGTAACCAACCAGTTTTAACTTGGAGTTAGACATTTTTTCAAAATCTTTTAAAATTATTTTTTGTTCCACAGAAGAAAGTCATACAGTTTTGAGGAGTAAATGATGACAGAATTTTCATTTTGAGGTAAACCTTCTGTTTTTTTCTCACACATAAAAGATTTATCAGCAAAAATACAGTATCATATTTTCATCTGTAGCATGTTTGAAGTAAAATTGTGCAATTATCATCATGACGCATCATTTTTTTTCTTTTCTTCTTGAGCTTTGACAATCGAAAAAAATACACATTTTTGCTCTACACACTGGTTCATTCTGCCCTGTGCTTCTGCCTGCTGTGAGAAACTAAGTAAAACAGAAGAAAGAATGAGAGAGGGATAGAAAGAGAGGTGTATAAAGGCGGGAGAGGAGAAGAGCGCATTCCAAGAGAGACTGACATCAAAGCTCCTTGAGCTGCCTTATTTGGCACCACATTTCTCTGTGTGTATTTGTGTGTGTTTGAGAGAGAACAATTGGCAGCATTTCCAGCTATTGCAGTCTTTATTCCTCATATCAGTCTTGTGTTCTGTTTAACTCTGGGTTTAAACCTGCAGAGTTGTGTCTGTAGTTTTGAATTTGTGGAAATTGTTGTTTTCCATTTTTTCCCAACTGGAGTCATGCTACTTACCAAAATTGCAGACTAGCAAGAATGTAGTCTCATTCTGAACTTATCTGTGAAGTTTCTTATAAGGTGCATAATGGAAAAATGGATAATGGAAAAGCAGAGTTGTACGAGGAATATTCCAAAATTCTGTCATCATTTACTCTGTGAACTGTTCCTGTATGGAAAAGTGTTGAAGAGTCCTCAAATTTTCATATTGGAGTAGAAATGAACTATTTCTTGCTCATTTCCTCCCAGCCACTAGAGGGCAGCATGTGACTGACAAATAGGTTATGTTCACAAGTCCTGGATTAGAAAGCAGGAATAAGAGGAAAGATGAAACAATGTGAAGTAAATGTGTACATTTCAAGATAAAATGAATGATTCACTTCCTGTTTCTCAAACATTGATTGATCTTGCTTCTGCTCTATCATTTCATCATTCTTTTTTTATTATTTTCTTTCTCTTTTTCTGATGATCTGCTGCCTTTTGTGGACTTCGTCCAAAACATTTAAAGTCATTTCCACATCAGTTGTCCTCTGCCCGGGGTCCTCACCGCGGCTGCGTCTGCGTCAGGAGCACATTACGTGGGCTACTGGTCCTCGCACTGCCCCTGGTGCTGTGCTTCTCTGGAGATCACACAGAATAATTCAGCCACCCAGCCAGGCATGCTGAGCAAAGCTGGTGTGAAGAATGAAATAGAAAAGTTTGTGTGTCTCTCTATGGATTAATCTGAACTGAATGTAACTGGCTCTCAACTTTTATTGCTGCTTTGCTTTGTGTAATTTTGTCAGATCAGAGCCTCAGACGCACATGGATTTCACTTTAAATGGGATATTAACCTGTGCGCTCTTATAGAGGATTTATTTTATTTTTAGTGAATGTGTCCCCATTTAGTTTGCTCAAGATGGTCTGTAGTTTAAGTTTGAGTTGAATTTTCATTTTGGTCAAATCCAGGGATGCACCAACATTTGATTTCATGTTGTGAATGCTAACTAATAAATAGTAGATTTAAAAAATTGTCTACATAAATTAAGGATAAAATGCTTAA